TGAAATAAATAGTTGATTCAAGTAAATAGTGTGATGTTATGCACATCACTTAGAGGTGCAAACATGTAAGGGATTGGGTTGAAAATCTAATTGGAAGGGTTTAGTATGGCTGTCTTGTATGTATGTATGTATGTATGTATGTATGTATGTATGTACTGGGACTTACATGTGCCTTTTTAAAATACAAGCAGCTTTTTAAAAATCCTACCTTATATTTCATAGAAGACAAATTTACTACAATACTGTACTTCAGCAGGAATCAGACTTAACATTAGTGCAATGCTAAAAATGGCAAAGGAAAACTGCAAGTTACCACCTGCTATTTAGGAATAATGAAATTTAACCTACAATGCAGAAGTCAGGAGAATATAAATAAAAGTAGTATTAACCTGACATATAATCAAGGACATTATAGGCAAGTATGTGCATTATTTATTTCATTCTCAGTCCATCTAGGCCTTGGAACTGATGTTATTTATCTAATCTGCTTCTCTCCCTCCTCTCGTTTGTCTCTCCTTAGTCTGCCCCACTCCTTAGTATAATTTTGTTCTTTTGAATGTCACCTTAACTCACACTGTCAGTGCAGTGTGTTGCTTGCAACGTGAGTAAAACGTAAGCCAGGGAGGAGATGTGCAAATGCACACAAGCCCCACCCTGTTTTATCAGGATTCATAATTATGGGAGTTTGTTCAATCAAACCCTCTTACAATTTCTTGCAAGCTAAATGCAAAGAGGCACCGGGAGCAGGCTTTGCATACAGGCACCGAGAATAAAGGGGATGAGCAAATACCAGGTGGAGAACTTCCCTTACAAGTGGATCCCAGCATGGTATATAAATGCACACACTCATGTGCACGCAAGCTAATAACACGTTTAAGTTATAACCCGCCCTGTGTGTTCCATAAAGCTCTCACTGATTTCCCAATCCACCTCTTTATTTCAATTACTTTGGCATGAGCTGCTCCTAGATCAAGAATAGGAACCCCAAGCCTATGGCCTAATCTGCCCATGAAAGTAATCCATTCAGGCTACGGAGCCAGCAAACATTCTCACTGAAAGCCTGTCCCTCCCCAGAAGCAGCAGCCATCTGAAACACTTGCAAGTGCACCTTGCGTTGGGCCCCTTTGAGCATTTCTTCTTTAGGAAAGGCAAGGATGAATCCATGTGCTATTTTCTGTGTGCCCGCCAAGCATAGACATTGTGCACAAATACCATCAATGTAAGAAACTGTTTTGTTTTTTTTCCTTTGTACCTGAAGCTTGCAAGGAGAGGATTCTTTCTATACACCTGATGCACTGGAAAAAAATGATTTTCTTCATGCCTCAGGTCCACGTTTGTGGGGCAGCATGCCTCCAAATACCAGTTGCAGGGGAACAGTGACATGAGAATGGTATATCTCTGTCTCCTGCTTGTGGGCATCCCAGAGGCATGAGAAACAAAATATTGGATTAGATGGGCCTTGGCCTGATCTAGCAGAGCTATTATGTTAGAATTTTCTCTATGCTTATCTGATATACAGAGAAAAGCAGTTTTTCTGTATGCATTAGGTAAGAATGAAGACCGATTCCAATCTAACGCATGGGAAATAATCCAATGGGGAGGGCACCAGTGTTTTTGCTCCATAGAGCGCCACTCACGAACATCATCCAGTCCATGGAAGCAGAAAGGAACTACATGCAGATCTCAGACAAGTTTTAGTTCCCTACCCCTGTGGTGGATCATTTTCTGGATTACTTCTCGGTACTGGCTGAAAATATATTAACAAATACTATCAGTGATATTAATCAAAGAGGTAATGATTTGGAGGGCATGCAGTGACGCAGCGGCTTAGTGACCCTGGAAGTTGCCAGCTAGAAATGGTCGGAACTTCAGTGGTTCGAGCCCAAGCTCCGTGCGGCAGGGTGAGCTCCTGTCTTGCACCCTCAGCTCCTGCCCACCTAGCAGCTCGAAAGCATAAGCGAGTAGATAAACAGGTACTCTCACCCCAGTGGGAGGAAAAACGCTGGTGGCGCCTTGCACGGGAAAACAGGAATTGCGGGATGCAATGCAGCGGAAGAGACCTGATTTCCTGTGACCACCAGCTGGGCTCCGCCCTAGGAAGGAGGCAATGGCAAACCACTTCTGAAAAAACCTTGCCAGGAAAACTGCAGAGACTTGTCCAGGCAGTCTCCATAGAATCGGTCACGATTGAAAGCAGATTAAAAAAAAAAATGATTTGGAAACGACATTATGACTGGGGACACCTAATCCAATAATAAAATCAATAGACTGATTATTTTTGGCGTTTCCAAAGTTCCTAACTAGGACTAGAAATCAGTCTTGGGGTGAATCTAGAATTAGCCACAAATGTACCGCATGATAAAAGGCTTGAACTAGAAGAATTTAGGGTAGATGCATAAACTAGATATAACTTCTCTGCACTAAAGGTACAAGTATTTCATAGCTTTTGAAGATGTCATGCTGCTGTAGATAGCCCATGGCGATGGAATTTTTTAGAACTGTTTCAGCAACAAAATGGCTGGAAAAACCGCACAGACCTAGTTATGGTCCTATTTACTAAATCAGAAATAATTGGATTGAATTCTGGCAATTTCTAAGCAGACTGTTAAGCTCACTCTTTTTTCTCCCTCCCATACTGTTAATCCATCTTTACAGTTGGAAGCATAATATAAATCAGTGTTTTTCATACATAATGCTACTATTAGTAATAACAACAATAACAGCATTGTATCCTAACCTGTAGCATTTAAAACCACAAAATACATCTAATTCATTTAATAAATAAGCCCAAAATACTGCCAAAATAAGAACCCCTGAGGCAAAATCTTAACCAATTGATTTTTAACTTTTCTGCCTTTTTTAAAAAGCAAAAAATGATAATGTTAACTTTATACCTCCTCCATGAGAATGGTTCATGTAGTATTTTACAATTTGGGACTAGCTACAAGGGATTATATCTGAGGAAATGTGAAGTGTGGGTATGAATTCACACATGACCTGGGTGTGCTTGCCTTTTTTTATGTTCAAAGTTGTATACATATGGAATTTCCAAGTGAAAACAGTTTGAGGTAAGTTTGTTTTCTGTTGACATGCTTGACAACCAGTTTCATGCCTCTGGGTACCTTTGAAACAGGTATCACTATTATTTATTTCAGAAGACCGAAGGGTAAAAAGAACACCAGGGAAAAAAAAAAAAAACCCTCCTAAATATAAACTGACAAAGAGATGGGGGCACATTAACTTAAAACCTGGCAGCTGTGACTGTTCTTTATAAAATATCCAGTGGCTTAAA